TCACAGGACTGGAGAGAAGGCTCAACGCTTAAAAACACTTGCTTTTCTTGCAAAAGACAGGAATTCAATTCCCATCACCCACACACATCAGAAAGCTCCCAACCATCTTTAACTCCTGCTCCAGGTTCTCTGCCACCCTCTTCTGCCACAGGACTGGAGAGACGGCTCAGTGCTTAAAAACACTTGCTTTTCTTGCAAAAGAAAGGAATTCAATTCCCATCACCCACACACATCAGACAGCTCCCAACCATCTTTAACTCCTGCTCCAGGTTCTCTGCCACCCTCTTCTGAACTCTGAAGGCACCTGCGCTCATACATCCACATTCGTACACATAGACACACACATAATTACACATAATTAAAAATAAAATAAGTCTAAAATTTTTAAATAAGAGAACTTAACTAGACATATATATTTATATATTTAATTTACAACAAATGGAAGCATGCAGTCCATTATTGATAGGTTACATAATCAGACTGAATGCATAAGACCAAAACAGAACTCCAAATCTTAAATGTCAGTGAACTAAAACAGGTTATGTCAGCACAGAAATATTTGGAAGATTTCAATAACATCCATTCAGTGCAAAGAAGGAACATAAAGAACTGAAAAACAACAGGTTGGAATTACAGTCAAGGTAACAACTGAAGAAAATGTTTCAATGTTTAAAAGTTAAAATATATTTCAAATTTAACCATTATCCACATGTGGATCCATGAGGGTAAAAGGGAAACAAGCCTCTCCAGATGACGTGTCCCCATTTTCATGACTGTATTTGAAATAAGTTATTCTGCAGGACAGCAGGCAAGAGAGCAAAAGGGAAAGCATTTAAGAAAAATTTAAAGTACTTCATGTGAAGTTACTTGTGATTATTATTTAAAATAGTAAAGATGGGCTTTAATAACAGCAAAACTTCCTTCAAACTCTTTCAACTGCCATCTGTGAACAATGATGATTCCACTCTGAAAATGTCATGATCAATGTCCTTCTGACTGTGTCACATATGTAGGCACCAGAAGGTTCAGAACATTGGCCAATATATCATGGGCTGAAAACTATAGACCCTGATTTCGGATATCGGGTTGTATTCAGACCAAACCAGTGTTCTTCCCTTCCAGCTGCTCTGTAAGACAGGGGAGGAGAGCAGATGCCTTATCATCAGCTGATACATACTAAGTTCTTCAAGGTGTCTCTATTTGCAATTGTTGTATTGACAATGAAGAAGGTAAGTTATCTGAACATTTCATAGATTTTATACTCCACAATGTTTCTTGACTAGTTTAATGAAAGATTTTTTTAAATAATTTATTGAGAATTTTATACACACATGTAAGGTGTTTTGATCAAATCTATGCCCACTCCCTCCCATCCAACTCCTCCCATATCTCCCCATCACTTTTTTCTGATAACTTCATATACTCTTTCTTCTTATTTATGGGGATTTTGCTACTCTAAATTCCCCCCCTCTGAAGAGGTAACCCTAAAATCTTTTAAGGATTAGATAAGAGCTCCCAAATACTTTCAACATTTGTGGCCTTTGGAACAGAGTATGTTGCTAAGAGGCCCAAGGACATTTTGACTTTTAGCCAAGAAACTGGCTACATTTCTTTGATTAATGTAAGATTTTACTTCCTGATAAGGACAAGCTGAAATGGAGATGGGGTTTTCATCTTGCCAACACTGAAGTCCAGTTATTACAGAATTATCATGAGGGGCATGGACCATAGAGCTCTCCTATAATTAAATTGTAATTATAAAAAGTCTGAAGTAGCAAACCTGCATAAGAGACTAAAAATTAGAAATGTGGAACAAAGGTACGTAACACTTTTAATTGACCACTGAATTTATGTCACATATTATGAAATAAAACAGGAAATATTCAGAACATCAAAATGCAACAGAGAAGCACATAAAGGAATAAGAGCAGAGAACAGAAACACATGGTGTTGCTTCAAACTTTCCATGTTACTTTGAAGTGTAATATTCAGGAATAAGTGAAAGACAATGAAAATCAGAAATTAAATTAAAAGCTGATAATTTTTGGTCAAAATAAAAAATGTTCATGCTTTTAACCTGAGGATGTAAATGGGAAATATAATTTTCTGAAATAAAACAAAGAAAGATGCTGAGCAGCTTCTGCAAACAGGAGAAAAGCTTTGTATCAGGCAACTTGAACCACAGCTCTTGCTTAGGTAGCACTCAAGCTGTTGTCCAATATTCCAGTTTTTTTATGTACATTTCGTTGAAGTTTTGTGCACTTCTTTAAAAATATCTTAAGCAAGTCTAGACCCCCTCCACCATATGCACTACCCATAGCCCCTCCTCTGGGTTTTATGCATTCTGTCACATATCCAGGATTATCCAGTCAAGCATTTGTACCCAGATCTCCCTCCGTGAAAGCTCATCCACTGGAATCTAGTCAGCCTATCTAAAGCCACTCCCTTAATTATTAACTCTCCCTCACCCTATGACATCCTAGCTATTGTAGTGCATTCTCGGGACAGGTACCCCAAACTTGAAGTTATGTCGATGTATGATTGCTGATATCCTACAAAACCACACTATTGTGGCACTGTTCCAATCAGATCCCAGAAGTTTTATGGTTACAAATTCTGTTCAACTTGATTAAACAAGGGCCCAAAAGAGAAGAGAGAGATAGGTGGTGGGCAGCACTAGACTGAGAACTATTGGAGACTCATTTTTGCTGGGTGAGGGAGAACATGACTTCTGATCTCTAGATGGGCTGACTAGACTTCAGTGGACTAATTTACACTGAAGGACACTTGGGCACAAATGCCGAGTGGATAGGACTTAACATGTATGGCGGAATACATGCGGTCCGGTGGGGAATTGGGGGAGGAATAGATGGGGGAAAGGGATAAATTTGATTAATAAATGTGTGACATTACAAAAGTTCAATAAAAATATATGTATATTTATTATACATAAATTTATATATATTTATACATATATAAATAAATTCTATACTAGCTTTACTAAAACAAGACCACCACTCCAGATCTTTGCCTAATGCACCCTAAGAAACACGAGTGCATGAAGTGCAAATATGTATTCATGCAAGTAGCCAAACTGTGATCCAGAGGATCTGAGGGCACCGGTATTACACATACACACACACACACACACACACACACACACATGCACACACACACACGCACACACACACAGAATCAGAGGCTCAAAGTCGCATCAACCCAAACCTTTCACCCATGTGAAGATCAGTGTCAGGCAGGAATTCTGACGCAAGAGTGGGGAAGACAATGTCTATGACATCATCATTTTGTCCAAGTTCACAACTGAGTAAAGAAGAGCCAGAGATGGAACTAAACTTATTGGATGATTAACAGCCATACTTTGAGGCCTATACTAATGTGGTCAGAGGAACTTAAAGGACAGTTTTTTTCCCCTTTCCCTGTGAGGTCGACTAAGTTCCAGGGGACTACGGAACATCTCTCAAAATGTCCTGTAACCGTGGTGAGTCACCTGTCCTTTGTTCAGGGAGGACATGGAGACCCCAAGAGATGGACTTGAACCAGTGCCCAGTCTACAAAGAAGGTCAACTCAGAGGAAATATCTCACTCATGCTTCCAGGTGAAGCCAGCCATGGTCAAGCAGGACCTTTCACTTATCTTCACATAGATGGAACTCTTAAAAGAAAGGAGCCAGGATCTCCTCCCAAACCCATGTGACCCCTGAGGAACAGATTCTCAAATGACCTTAACTGTAAAAATAGATTAAATTGGACCAACTGTATGGTCTTAAACACCCAAAAGGAAAGTATAAACAAAGAGTAAGAATTTGGACCAACTGTATGGTGTTAAACACCCAAAAGGAAAGTATAACCAAAGAGTAAGGTCATCAGTATATTTCTTTAAGAGTTCAAGGGATTACATGTCCCAGACATTAGGCTTAAGTCTATATAAACAATTATTTAGGCAATTATTTCTCATTGATGGTTTAGTTCTTAATCAGAAAGTGCTGCTATTATGTAAGACTGCAAACCTTGTTCTCCATTACTGTAGTGCCCACCTGTAGCTAAGGGAGGCAAAAAGCTGTTGTTCTAAAATGATGGATAAATGTGTTTTCTCCCCCTATATAAAAGTCTGTGAGAGGGAACTGACACTGATTCTAACAACTCCAACAGCTATCAAAATACCTGAAAGAAAAC